ATAGATATATATGATATAGAGCACAAAGTGCTGCACTTTGCTTAATAAATGTAAAGTACCTCTTTTGGTTAAATGCCTGACTTGTGTATTACTTTTTTGTTGTTGTTGCTATAAATAAAGAATGGGGGAAAAAAAGTTGCCTGCTTGCAGTTTTCTAAAAGTTAGTTTTAGTTCCACTTTAAAGTCACTTGCAGCAATCTGGCAATATGTGAGTGCCAAAGAACTAGCAGTGAGCACTGATGGAAGAACTGCACCCAGTTCCCAACAAAGTGGCCACCCTAAAAAAATTTTTTTTTTTGTAGTTTTTTACCGAGAGTGGGTAAAGGATTACAACCTGTATCTGCCTCAGGTAAAGAGTTCTCCTCCCACTTACTGTCACAGTGACAATGGTTTCATCAGACAGAAAGTGGGTGAACATGTGCAACAGGAACCGAGGAAAAGTGACAGGGGTTCTATTACATTGTATTCCCAACCAGAAAATGTTCCAATTAGCTGAGGCTGGAGAAATGTCACTTATTATAAGTCTCCACTAGATGGCAGCAGCATACAATTCTAAGAGACCAAATGGATGACTACAGCAGGAAATGGTTATGGCCATCATTGCTTTGGTATACAGTAGCCAGCAGACAGGGTAGCTTTGTAAAATGGAAAAGTGCTTGCGAGCTACTATGGTGAGTAATAAAAGTGCATAATTAATTATTAAGTAAAATTAAAACAAACGTGGTTCACTGACACTAAACACTTACTCATATTATTGTGTATATAAATGAATTTAAAAATTATTATTATTATGTGCTGCGTTCCACTAAGTAAATTAATTATGTATGTAAAGTGCAATATGTGCTCTATATATCCATATACCATATGATCCAAAAACAAAAATATATATATATGATGGAATAAACAATTTTATATAAATTTCATCATGTGAATGTGATAAATGCATGCTTTATGAAAAAAAAAATTATATATATATATATATATATATATATATATATATATATATATATATATATATATATATATATATATATATAAATAGTTGAAATATAATCCTAAAAAAGTCCAAAAATTCACATAAAAAATCCAATAATGTGTCCACTCCGTGTTAATATTCTAAAAAAACTGGATATGATTTTCTTATGCGCTCACCTTAACTTTAGCCTAACTGAAAACTAGGCTAAAACAGCTTTTTGTCCTTATGTGGACAGATGAGGGTGTTTTTTCCAGTGGTAGTTTTCCTTCCAGGACTGATGAGTTGCAAGTTGTAGTAATTCAATTTTCCCACCTGGGGTCTCTTAGGCTTGCTGATCCCTGTATTAGATCAGGATGAATGGATTTCTCCCTCTGTCCTCCAGGGTCTCTTATACTTCCTTTCCCTTCGCTCTTTAATTCATAAAACTGTGCATGGGGCCCCCTCTTTTTGTTCTGGTGGTCCAACAACTCCTCATTACTTTTCCTGAAGTGTCTGGATTTTTAAGCAGGCCATACACTGATCGAAATTTGGCTATTTCACAAGGGACTATGAATTTTGATGAATTTTGAGAAATCCATCCATCCTGATCTAATACAGGGATCAGCAAGCCTAAGAGACCCCAGGTGGGAAAATTGCAACTCATCAGTCCAGGAAGGAAAAATTACCATTGGAAAACACCTCGTCTGTCCACATAAGGACAAAAAGCTGTTTTAGCCTAATTTTCAGTTAGACTAAAACTAAGGTGAGCGCATAAGAAAATCATATCCAGTTTTTTTAGAATATTACGGAGTGGACACATTATTGGATTTTTTATGTGAATTTTTGGACATTTTTTTTGATTATATTTCAACAATTTTTTTATATATATTTATATATATATATATATATATTTATTTTTTTTTTATAAAGTATAAATTCATCACATTCACATGATGATATTTATATAATTTATATAATTGTTTAATCCATCATATATATTATTTTTTTGTTTTTGGATCATATGGTATATGGATATATAGAGCACATATTGCACTTTATATACATAATTAATTTACTTAGTGGAGCGCGGCACATAATAATTTTTAAAGGGTGGCTTTGTAACTGTTCATATTCTACACATAATACTGTAGATCAGCAGTAGGCAAGCTTCAAGGTGAAGGTATACTGAAGTATCCAAAGATATACTGTAACATGGGCCCTTTCAAAGACAGTATTATTCAACAAAATACTCAACCAATTACCCAGTTCTAACATTTCGGCTGTCTTGCCTGGTAAGCGCTAGTTGTGTGGCTGTCTTTGGACCCAATTCATTCTTTGACGCAGAACAAGCAAGGAGCCAGTGAAATTAGAGGAAAGCCAGGATTTCCAATTTGCATGCTCAGTCTGACTCTGTCATTTATTCGATTACCCATGCTGTAACCTATCCTTACTTAAATCACTGTAATCATCCTTCTTGTTTCTCCTGCCTCTAGTTATTAAGTGATGAAGGATTGGCTTAGTAATCACACCAATACCCATTGGATCATCTGCTGTACTTAGAAAATGCATTCATTCCACTCTATTCTGTATAATATTATACATAAAATGATAAAAAATTGAATTTCTTGTGCAGTATTTTTTTATTGATTTTAATCAAATAGGTATAAAAATGGTATTTAATTAAAATTGATGGAGGTCTGATCAGTAAAAATTTCTTCCAGCAGAAGTCTGAAACGCATGATCCTTCAAATCACAGCCCCCACCATATCACAATTCTTATATTAGTGTCTCCCCCCCCCCCCCCTTCATATCACAATTCCCCCCTTTACATCACAGTCATTCACGTGACATCACAGTTTCCCCTTCACAGGAGTGTCCTTAGCCCCCCTTCACAGTAGTGTTCTGAATCCCCCTTCACATCACCCCCCCCCCATTCACAGCAGTATCCTCTGCTCCCACTTTACACCCCCCACCACATCCATGTCCTCTACCCCCCTCCATACCCCCCCAACAACCATGTCCTCTGCCCCCTTCACAAACCCCCATAGCCACGTCATCTACTCCCCTTCACACACACACACCCCACAGCCACATCCTCTACCCCCTTCACACACCCCTTCCCCAAAACAGGTATGTTTTCTACCCCTCTTCACACCCCCTCTACCCTCTTCACACACACCCCACTCTCCACAGCCATGTCCTTTACCTCCCTTCACACCCCCCACAACCATATCCTCTACCCCCCATCACACCCCCCTCCCCCTCAGAGCCATGTCCTCTACCCACCCCACACCCATGTCCTCTACTCCCTTACACACACACCCCTCTCCCCCACAGCCATGTCCTCTACCCCGCTTTACACACCCTCCCCCCCACAGCTATGTCCTCTACCCCGCTTTACACCCCCCTCCCCACAGCCATGTCCTTTACCCCCGCTTAACACCCCCTCCCCCCCACAACCATATCCTCTACCCCCCATCACACCCCCCTCCCCCTCAGAGCCATGTCCTCTAGTCCTCTACCCCACTACACACCCCCCTCTCCCCCACAGCAATGTCCTCTACTCCGCTTTACACCCCCCCCACGCCATGTCCTTTACCCCCGCTTTACACCCCACATGTTACACCCATATTTACACTAGGTTCACACTTGGGGGCTGGTTGTGGGTGTGGGAATTGCACCTGTTCCCGCACCCGCAACCACCCACAGTCGAATCACACTGCTCTTGCGAGACTCACGGGGCTGCCATTCATTTTGAATGGCACTCCCACACGTTTCAGCCCACAGCGTGATTGTGGGTGTGGAAACATGGGCACAGCAGACCATTCAAATGAATAGGCTGCCGTGCCTAAACAAACGCAGGTCACAGGGCCCGCAATCATGTAAAAACTGAGCCTTAGGGTGTAACATGTTACTGACTGAGCAGCCCCCCGCACCCCCCCAAGTCCCCATTGTGACAGCAAGCCAAAGATTTTCTCCCCCTACCCACTGTCACAATTTATAAAAAACATGGCCGTGCGGGACTCCTCCGACTGGGCCACGTCATTGACTCTCAGAGTTCTGTGAATTGGAGAACTACAACTTTGCGGCTGACAGCTTGTAGTTCTCAATAAGCTACCAGAGCGCTGACAAGCAGGCGGGCAGATAGGTACACTGACTCGGGAGGAGCTTTAGATTGCGTGTGGGTGCAATGTTTTATAGGCTTCTAATAAAAAAATAATATCTGCAAATATTTTTTTTACCTGCAAAAAGATGTGCATTTATTATTATTATTTATTATTATTTTTTATAAAAGTGAATTTATCCTTTAATGCCAAGCTTTGTTTGATGTAACAAATAGGTATGCAAACTTTTTGTAATTGATGTGGGTTTTTATATTTATGAAATGTGACTGATGCAAGCCATATAGTAGTCGAAAAACCGTTCAAACGCATTTTCGAAAAACAAACACACTGCCATGAGAGATATTGCCATCATGTAATGACTGATTTTCAAACAATAAATTGTTCAATGGACATAAATTAACAATTTTTTCATTTGTTTTGTCACATATGCGCAGTATGGACAGTTTGATTTTTATCGGGCGAGAAAAAAAACACATTAATCTTTCAATTTTTTGTCTGCTCGGTAGAAGTTTTCCTAACGTTTCCTTCGATTTGTGCCCATTAACTGGATGAAAAACAAACTGTCCAAATGACAGATTTTCGAACGAATTTTCGTCTAGTGAATGCACATCATAAGGCGTATGTTGATAAAGCAGGCATTTACCAAACATCTTTTGAAAGGAACTGTCCTACTTTTGAGACCAATCCTAATGTCCCTTGTGAAGCCTCTTTTTTTATTTTACTACCAAAATATTATGCTGCATGTAACTTCTATCCAACCTCTAGACAGGGCCAATGCTTCCACTAGGCAAACGCCAATGGCGCACTGCCACCTAGGGACACATGAGCATAAAACAGGCCGGCACTCTCTCTGTGTGGCCTATGGACCTCTTGTATGAATTCTTAATTTCTCTGCAGAGTCCCCCTCTCCTCATACACAGGGAATGATGATGGAATGATTACTCTGCCCAATTGTCTCACAGCCTGTCCACACACATGACCAGTTAGTATGTACTGTATATGTGTGTGTGTATCAGGGGCGGACTGACAACTCATGGGGCCCCTGGGCAATAGGGGATCATGGGGCCCCTGTGTCCTTGCCCAAACTCAAAAAAGCCTATGAAAAAGGTACCAGGGGCATCTCATGGGGTCCCCTACTGACCCCGGGCCCTCGGGCAGTGCCCAAGTTTCCAAACGGTCAGACCGCCCCTGGTGTGTGTGTGTGTATATATATATATATCAGTATTCCATGTAGCAGTGAACGGTCAGCTCCCTCTAGGATGGGAAGTGATAACATTAGCCCAGGACCCCAGGTGGTCAGCAGTCTCTGATTGGAGGATCAGTCCATACTTCTCTGGTGCACACACTGTCACACATAATCCTCCAATAGGCAGAGGTGTGCTTTGGTTGCAGGGTTAACCCTATGTGAGCAGAATGATCGGAGCCTGATTTGTAGTGCTGGGAAGCCACCTGTCCTCACTGAGATCCACAGCCTGGACTCCACACCCCAGCAGGAGTCATCAAAGGTGAGCTGAGCCTAGGAGCATGGCGGGTCAGAGGTGACAGGAGGAGGAGAAGGGAGGCGGACAATGGTGTGGGTGAGGGGAACAGATGCTAATTGATCGTATGGGGCACTCCCACGTTATGAATGATCCTTCAGCTAAGGGGAGGGGCAGCAAAAGGGGAAGAAGAAAGGACAGAGGAAGATGCTGGTTGTCTGGGGGCAGTGTAGCAGCTGTGCTGCCGCTCCTTCCAGCCTTCCAGTGTTCCTCTCAGACTCAGTCCCTTACTGCAGCCGGCTGCTGATCACTGTGAAGTTTTGAAACTGTCTCTTTTTTTTTTTTTTTTGTTTCTCTGCCTGATTGGTTAATACAGTTAATTTAGATTTGGTTAATATATATTTTGTCTTTAATATTGGTGCTGGTATTATCTTATGGCACTTATTTTTGCAAATTCAAATAAATTTAGCAGGTCCATGTCTTGTTGATTTAATATTTTCTACTGTTTTAATTTTTTTTTGAGGGGGGGGGGGGGCGCACAAGTAGCTAGTCTTGCCTAGGGTGCAAAATAATCTAGCACTGGCACTGCCTCTAAATAACTGCTTTTAGTTTTTTGAAAAACCAATATAAAGGAAAATAGAAGTAAAAAAAGCACTTGTGTGGTTTAGCCAATCATTTTCTGCATATTACATCTGTGTGGTCCATGTAACCAGTTCTGTGGCAGGGATGTGTCCTTTGCATACATAGTGGGTACTAAAAAGTTTCCATCTTTATGATTTCAGAAAGTTGGGAGGTATGATTTAAATTATTGTGATTGCTTCATCTCCAGTGAATGTTTAGTGAAAGTTACTTTCACTGCATTTTAAAAATGTCCCTGAACCCATTCAAATTTCTCGCTTAGCCTTCACGTCAGTCCCATAATTTTAACTGCCTACCTGTCTATTTCTCTCTTATGATTTTATCTAACTCTTTTCTCAGGAAGATCATTGGACATTTGTTGATTTGGATGTAGCACTACTCTCTTGAGGACCGCTGAGTTTTTGGGTCCCCCTAAGCTGTGCACATCTAGGCAACCCTCTTTTCCCAAGATGCCAGGCCTCCTGCCTGTGGATTGACCACATTCTTGAATACTTGATCTCTGGTCCTTTCACAACATATCACGTTACACCCTGAATATGGGGGTGTAACATGTAACAAAAGGTGAACTTATCCTTTAACTACTACTAGATATCCTTTCTGAATCATAGTATAGGCCTGTGTCAGCTGGCATTTGCTCACTTCAGATAAGTTTTACATTCCTGTACAAGTCTTTGGAAATGCAATCCCCCATAAAGCAACTCGAATGAAGGTCTGATGTGGTCAAACGCACCTGTCAATGAATTCCGAATGATCCCGGTCTGGCTGGAGTTCATTCTCAAGAGAGAACTGCACATATGTGGTCATATGTAAACAATTTTCTGTCCTGAGAGCATGCGCCCTTCATGCTCCCAGCACAATAACCGTCAGGGGCGAGAAAGCTCCTAAAGCCCCATACACAGTATGAAAATTGTACAAAAAATGCTACTTTCAAAGTGATCGTATGATAATTTGATCATTAGTGCACAGCAATCATCTGAAATTACTCGAAGGGACAAGCATGAAAAGTTTTGTCGTACGATACCAGATTGTACGATTTTCGTTTAACAGTTACAATTCTTGTCTGAAAATACAATACAAATACATTACAACGCATTACATCATTTCTGAATTTTTATTCTGTTGTATAAGAATTTTTGGAACTTTAGTAACCTCTTCACTTTTGATATCAGACTAGCATATCATTCAATCTTTCATCCGACATTCTCAATGTGTATATGGGGCTTAATGCTCCGGAAGGGACTGGAAAGCTCATAATGCATACTTGCAATTGGGAGCTTTCCAATTATGTGATCGCTGTGACTGCCAATCACAATGGACACATGATTAGAATGCACGCCTCCACCTCTCAGAATTTGGAACCTCTTAAAGGACTGGGAAGCGGTGGCATGAAGGAGTTAGGGTGGTTGTTCAGTCCTGGAGTTTATTCTCAAGAGAGAACCGCACATATGTGGTCATATGTAAACAATTTTCTGTCCCCCCCCCAATAATTAAAGGTCAGCAGCTAAAAATACTGTATCTGCTGACTTTTAATGGAAGGACACTTAGCTGTCCAGGGATCCAGCACTGTCCTCACCCAAGCCAGTTCTTTACCGGTCTTTGGTTCCCTGGAGCAATCCAGTCATGTGGTCGCTATGACTGTCAATCACATGATTGACTGCCTCCCAGCATTTAGAGCTTCTTAAAGGGCTGGGAGGAGGCAGAAGGAAGTAGTTAAGGAGGTTCTTCACTCCCCCCCAAATCAAAAATTAAAAGTTAGCAGCTACAAATACTGTACCTGTCCAAGGATCCAGTTCTATCCTCATCCAGGCCAGTTCTTCATTGGTCTTCGGATCCCTGGCACTGGCAAGCTAACTCTGGGAAGCCAAGTGTGACTCCCCGTGGCTTCACAGCTGGATCCTGACTGCGCATGTGTGAGACATGCTGTACCCTGTGAATGGTTCCCCAGCTTCCTGGGATTTTTGATGTGTCACAAGAGGCTGTGGGCAGAGTGGGGGACCAAACATCCACTTGGATTGCCTAGACGATCTGGGCAGAAGTGGGAGTGGCTACCTGTTAAAACCAGGTACCGGCTCCCAAGAAAAAAAAAAAAGTGTTCAGAAGTTGAAGAGGAGGGGGGAAGGAGGCAGAAAAGCCGAACTTTCCTTTTAGGGGTGGAGTTCCACTTTAAAGAGCTTCTCCAACAAACAAAATGAATCAATGGATTGCTATCACAATCCAGAAAACACTTCAGCTAGAAGCCTACTTAGGCCTTGTTACAACTGCTGCACTTTTAGCGTGCTAAACCGCACCCTTCCAGTGCGACAAAAGAGCATGAAAAAGAGTTCCCTTCAAATTCTATTTGTTCACATCTCTGCAATGTGGTTTTTTTAAGTGTGCTGCATTTTTTAAAAAGTCCTGCTTGCTGCAACTTTGGTACACTGTTTGAAAAACACACCAAAAATACACCTTCCACTATAGTCCATGGAAATACAGCAACAACACACCAAAAATGCAGCACGTGCTTTTTAAGTTAGTTTTTTGAGTCACATGTCAAATATTTCCCAGGTGATCCAGGGTGAAAGTGCATGCAAAACGCATCTAAAACATATATACATTGTGTTAAATTTTAACACAACACATTAAAAATGTGCTCACTGCTCACTGCCACTGCATGTGGGATCTGCATTGCATCTGAGACACCCCCTGCTGGGGAACTACAAAATAGGCTGTCAGGCCTAAGAGAGCAGAGTTGAAGACATCTCCCATTTCAACATCAATACCACCTGGGGAGACCCGTACCCTTTTGCACTGAAACTTGGATCTGCTAACCCAGGACTTTGGTGCTCGAATTTGAAGGTAGGGAGTGCCTAGCGGTTATGATACAGTGGAGTTTCAATGCCAAAGTTAAGTGGGACTTTGCGGGGGCTTCTTGCAGATAGCTTGGCGTCTTCTAATTGTAACAGTACTCACAGGAGCACTTTGTTTGCAGAACCCTGACTTTGGAATCCAATACCAAAGTGGGAGGAGGAAGATCTGTTGCTGCATCCATAAAAGAGGGACCCACTTTCTGTGACCAGACCAGCTTTGTTCCTACTGGGTTGAGGATCCATGGGCTTTTGATATATACTGCTTATATATATCTTCTTTCTGGTGAGTGCGTTTTTCAGCCACTTCCTCACGGATCACCAACATTGAATTTCTACTTGTCACCTGACATGTTTCTATGAACTGGACTTGCAGTGGACTCATTTCAGTTTTATCATTACTACCTTCAGCGCTGCACTGTTTTTTATGACATTAAAAATATGCTAACATGCCATATGCATGTTCAGAATCTCATATCACTACTATTACTACACACCTGTGTGAACAGGCCCTTGGTTTCAGTTGATTAAAGTGAATGTGAACCCTAACTATTCTAAAACATTTGAATCAAGTACAATACTAACTTAAGACGAACCTTTTAAGACAAAATAAAAACAAACGTTTTTTTGCATAGTTTACAATCAGTCACATGATCATTAAGCAGGGGTAAGGGAGAAGATTCCTAGTGCCAATCAGCAGCTCCTGTTGCCGTCACATATCCCAGCCTCTGTCATTCATCTGTGCAGGGCTGGGCAGGGGTCATATATTCAGAGATCTGAGCATAGGAGTACAGGCAAGCACAGCATTTTGTAAGGCCTTGTTCACACGTGACATATTAATTTGTGCCCTGTGTAACAGCCACGTTTACTGCATGGGGATACATCCCCATGTAGGCAGTCCATTGCTCCTAATTTGACATCCAGTTCAGTTCAGTTCTGGGAGCAGTGAAAAATATCAGAGGTGTTTGGGGCAGACTCCATTTACAAAAGTCCAACAGGTATGGGGAGAGCGTACATTGACAGATTAGTTTAAAATGATGGTG